AGCAATGTAAGTGGGCACTCTGATGGAGCCTAGCAATGTAAGTGGGCACTCTGATGGAGCCAAGCAATGTAAGTGGGCACTCTGACGGAGCCTAGCAATGTAAGTGGGCACTCTGACGGAGCCTAGCAATGTAAGTGGGCACTCTGACGGAGCGTAGCAATGTAAGTGGGCACTCTGACACATGCTGAAAAAAGCCTGCTGTCCCGAGATTGGTGCATCAGCACTGTGTGTGTGCAAACACACTAGCAGCAGGTATTAATGCATCATAGACGGCGGACCATGGTGGCGAAATGGTCTGACAGACTGTTATGTGTGGAGTGCGATGCTCACTGCATCTGCCTGTAAAACGCTCCCCAGACATCCTTCAGGCTTTATTTGGTGGGCCTGTTTCTCTGAGACTTCAACAACAAGCCCTGAGGTCACATGACCTTACTAAACTTTACCTCACACTACACAGATACAGTGAGGGGACTTGAAACTGCCACTGTCACTCTCATGAGGGAAGGGGGGCCTTAAGACAGACTTCCCTCCTTTTCCCTCTCAAGGCTGTGACACACCGCAGGCGAAGCGAAGCAATCGCAACCTTCCACTTCGCACCGCAGCTTGTCTACACTGTAGTTTGTCCGGCACAGCGGAGCTCGGGATCGCCAGCGGCAACGGAGGGTCCGTTTAATTACAACAGCCTGACAGCAGGTGGTTAATTATTTAATTCATAAATGTTCTTTGTTGATTATGAAATATAGTTCTATTTTTTTTTTATGTATTATTATTTCGATATTGGAATAATTAGTATTTCATTAAACATTATTTATGTAATTATTACATTAAATAATGATTGCATTAATTCAATACGTATTAGTTATCTATTTCATTACTAATTAATAATCAAACGTACACCTTATTCTTAAAGGAAACCTCCCTCTACACCACAGAGGTCACACCGGGGACTATCCTTGGCCAGAGTGTGGGAAGTACACTATATTGATAAAAGTATTGGGACGCCTTTACACGCACATGAACTTTAATGGCATCCCAGTCTTAGTCTGCAGGGTTCAGTATTGGGTTGACTCCGCCCTTTGCCGCTATAACAGCTCCGCCTCTTCTGGGAAGGCGTCCACAAGGTTTAGGAGTGTGTCTATGGGAATATTGGACCATTTGTGAGGTCAGGTACCGATGTTGGGGGAGGGGCTCGCAGCCTCCATTCTAATTCATCCCAAAGGTGTTCTATGGGGTTGAGGTCAGGACTCTGTGCGGCCAGTCACGTTCCTCCACCCCAAACTCCCCCATCCATGTCTGTATGGACCTTGCTTTGTGCACTGGTGCGCAGTCATGTTGGAACAGGAAGGGGCCATCCCCAAACTCCTCCCACAAAGTTGGAACTAAGAGGCCAAGCCCCACCCCTGACCATGAGGCTTGGACTAAGGCCTGGGCCCGAGGCCTAGTACATGGCCAAGCATGGAGATAACATGGAGGAGTCAGGTAGAAGCCGATCCTTGACTGAAGTATGGCGATGGTGGCTTCAACATCCAGTACCTACAGCCAGGAGCTCTACTCACAGAATGTCGGATCGGCCTAAAGGTTCTCAATCTTGAAAGAACTTCTCGTCTCTCTTTTCCGGAGTCGTCGAGTTCCATGGGTGTCCCGTGCCCGAACCCTCTCTACCGAAGTTCTTAAATACATTTACTGGAAGCAGAAGATCACCAGTGCGGACGTCAGTTAATCAGTGGCCACTGGTGGGTTGGTGAGTGCCTCTGGACAGCTATGGAACTGTGTACCCTGTTCAGGTTAGGAGGACCCAGTTCCTCCCGGAGGTGAAAGCTACACTCTAATCATTCAGGTATGATAGAGTTTGCTCAGCTGTTGACTTCCTGTCTACGGCTAGGTAGCCAACCTGTCTACCGGATGAAATGACGAGGTTACATGATACATCCCGGACCAAGTCCGGGACCATTGTGATGTCTAGACGACTGGGTCAATGCAACTCCAGCTTTGGTGGAATGTCTGCAGAGCTCAGGACCGACCAAAAGTGGTCCAAGGAAGGAAAACCGGTGAAAGGGTCATGACCAGCATGGGCACCTAGAACAGTCAGGTTGCCCACGCTGGCCTGTATCCACCACTAAAATCGTCTAGAAATGGGTACATGAGCATCAGAACTGGAGCACGGAGCGATGGAAGAAGGTGGCCGGGTCTTATGTACATCATGTGGATGGCCGGGTGTGTGTGTCACTTACCTGGGGAAGAGATGGCACCAGGATGTACTATGGGAAAAAGACAAGCCGGCGGAGGCAGCACGATGCTTTGAGCAATGTTCTGCTGGGAAACCTCGGGTCCTGCCATTCATGTGGATGTTATAGACACTTCCCACCGACCTAAACATTGTCCCTGACCATGGACACGGTGTTCCCTGATGGCAGCGGCCTCTCTCAGCAGGATAATGTGCCGGCCACATGGCACATATGGCTGAAGAATGGTTTGAGGAACACAATGAGTCTGAGGTGATGACTCCGCCTCCAAATTCTCCAGATCTCTGTCCAATCGATCATCTGTGGGATGTTCTGGAGAAACAAGTCAGATCCATGGAGGCCGATCACCTCACAGCTTACAGGACTTAAAGGATCTGCTACTGATGGCTCGGTGCCAGATACCACAGCACACCTTCAGAGGTCTATGGAGTCCATGCCTGGAGGGGTCAGGAGAAGGGGGACCTCCTCAATATAAGGGGGGTCATCCAGATACCACAGCGTACCCTCAGAGGTCTAGTGGAGTCCATGCCTGGGCGGGTCAGGAAAAGGGGACCTACTCAATATTAGGGGGGTCATCCAGATACCACAGCGTACCCTCAGAGGTCTAGTGGAGTCCATGCCTGGAGGGGTCAGGAGAAGGGGAACCTACTCAATATTAGGGGGGGGGTCATCCATATACCACAGCACACCTTCAGGGGTCTAGAGGAGTCCATGCCTGGACGGGTCAGGAGAAGGGGGACCTCAATATTAGGGGGGTCATCCAGATAACACAGCATACCTTCAGAGGTCTAGTGGAGTCTACAAAGGGTAATTACTGATTAGATTTTGTGGGAAGTACATAGGGGGGAGGGGCATGAATTAAGTAAATTTTGCATTGGTAATCAAAAAAAAAAAAAATTTCTCTCACTTTTTAATCCCCAATAAAAACCAAACGAATAGAAATCTTTGTATCCGAATCTGTCACCAAATGAAAGTCCGATCTGTCCCGAACAAAACGATGTGTAATACGTTACACCGCGAACTGTAAAAGTTCCAACGTGCGGAACCGAGACATTGACCAACCGGAGTAGACATTCCGAGAGACTCTGAAAATTTAGGGAAGAAAAGTCCCGGGGACTCCGGTGGTTAAAAGAGAACTACGAGGTCAGGGCTTTTCCCCATAGTTCTCCTCAGGGTCACGGGAGGACACAAACTAGCGTCCTCCCATCACCCTAGGCTCAGTATATAGAGGGAGCTACAGCTGGCGGTATACTGAGACCTCCGCAGATAAAGCGGATCCCGACAATTATGTCTGGATCCGCCCAGCTGCGTGACTGACCGCTATCTAGAAGCAGAGCCAGCTGTACCCTCCCCCGTCCGTTCTGCCAGTCAGCGCTGGCAGATCGGAGCGGGGAGGAGGGAATCCAGCCCCTCCCCTGTCACGGCAGAGAGCAGTGACAGGATCGAGAGGTGAGCGAACGCCGGTATGTGTTCCCTCACCTCCCGATCTACTGAGCCGACCTGTGACTGTCTCATTGTCACAGGTCGGCTAGAACTATGAGGTGAGTGACAAGCACCCCCCCCCTCATAGATCTCCTTTAATAATCTCTCAGTCATAATTTCCATATTGTCCACCAGTTGCCGATCTCAGGTACTTTTTGGGGGAAACACTCAGGCAGGAAGTCATGTTGCAGACAGGAAGTGATGTCATTAGACAGGAAGTGATCTCACATACAAATAGGAAGTTCCTGGTTAGAGGTGAGTCGGCAGGAAGTAGAGAGGAGACATTGCTGGAAGTGGCAGCAGAGGAGGTAATAAGATATTATTTTATATTTACACCCAGTAACCCCCCCGTCATGTCCGTCCTCCATAGTCACTGTGACGTCTGTTATCATAATTTGAGGTGTGTGTAGGGAGACATCTCCAAGAACAGAGCTGTATCATTGTGTGTGTCAGGTTCCTATAAGGTGTCAGGATGTCTCTGTCTATCTCTCCATGGAGGAGTGGGAGTATCTAGAAGGACACCGGGATCTCTACAAGGACGTGGTGATGGAGAATGCCCCGCCCCTCACATCACCGGGTAAGAGGAGAGAGCAGTACAGAGGCTCCGCCTACATCCCCCATCATCTGATACACACATAGAAACAATGTATTCAGTCAGTGTGTGTGTTTCCTACAGATGGATCCAGTAAGAGGAACCCACCAGAGAGATGTCCCCGCCCCCTGTATTCCCGGGACTCCACCCAGGAGGATCTCACCATCCCTCACCATGATCAGGTAGGTGGGATGGAGCATCTAGAACACGAAAGCGACTCAGTAATACAAGACGATGTTTCCTATGTGGTCTTGTATTATGAAACCTCATATACTCCACCCATGTTCTTGGTTTAGGGTGAAGATCTGATAGATATAAAAGTTGAGGTGAAAGCAGAAGAAGAGACGTATCTGAGGGGCGATCAGTCCGTGAAAGAGGGTGACATGATGGTGCCGGTTAAAGAGGAGGAATCTACAGATGGATCCAGTAAGAGGAACCCGCCAGAGAGATGTCCCCGCCCTCTGTATTCCTGGGATCCCACCCAGGAAGATCACAACTATGCCCAACCTTATCAGGTAGGTGGGACTGATCCCGTTACAAAGTGACCGGAAACTCTACCAAATAACGGTCTACGTATTATATATTACAGATCACATTTCAAGGATATTCATTTCTTTTTGTTGGTTTAGGACGAAGAGCTAAATAATATTAAAACTGAGGTTAAAGAGGAGGAAGAAGAGATGATGTATATGACGGGTGATCAGAAGATTACGGAGGAGGTTGGGATGATGGACACAGTTAAAGAGGAGGAACCTTCTCTAGATATCAGCTCAGGTAACTCATCATCACTACGTGTAGAAATGGTTTTATGTTTTACTTCATACATAGATGAGGAGGAGATACTGTACACCATATGAAGGTCCATCTCCATTCCTCAATATAACGTCATGTGACCAACCAATGAGGAGGAGATACTGGACACCATATGAAGGTCCATCTCCATTCCTCAATATAACGTCATGTGACCAACCAATGAGGAGGAGATACTGGACACCATATGAAGGTCCATCTCCATTCCTCAATATAACGTCATGTGACCAACCAATGAGGAGGAGATACTGGACACCATATGAAGGTCCATCTCCATTCCTCAATATAACGTCATGTGACCAACCAATGAGGAGGAGATACTGGACACCATATGAAGGTCCATCTCCATTCCTCAATATAACGTCATGTGACCAACCAATGAGGAGGAGATACTGGACACCATATGAAGGTCCATCTCCATTCCTCAATATAACGTCATGTGACCAACCAATGAGGAGGAGATACTGGACACCATATGAAGGTCCATCTCCATTCCTCAATATAACGTCATGTGACCAACCAATGAGGAGGAGATACTGGACACCATATGAAGGTCCATCTCCATTCCTCAATATAACGTCATGTGACCAACCAATGAGGAGGAGATACTGGACACCATATGAAGGTCCATCTCCATTCCTCAATATAACGTCATGTGACCAACAAATGAGGAGGAGATACTGTACACCATATATGACTCCTAAATAGAAGACATGAAGAATACTAATAACCTGTATTTAAAAATTGTTTCCCGGCAGATGGACTCCATGTCTGGAACGTCTCTGAGGGACGTCTTTTTTTATCTTCAAATAATAACGGCATCACACAACGTTCTCCGCGAGCGAATCCGGTTACTCGTAGTAGACATCACGGACGTTCCCATTCGGAGACATCATTGGATCGCTCTAATCCTGAGGAACCTTCACCAAGCCATAAAGTCGTTGATACGGGAGAGACTTCATTTTCATGTTTAGAGTGCGGAAAGTGTTTTACTCAGAAAGCAGGCCTTGTCCGACACCAGAAAACTCACACAGGTGAGCGTCCCTTTGTATGTTCAGAGTGTGGGAAGCGTTTCATTACGAATGGCAATTTTGTTATACACCAGAGGAATCACACAGGTGAACGGCCTTTTTCATGTTCTGAGTGTGGGAAAAGCTTTAACAGCAAAGGCCTGCTTACCAGACATCAGAAAATTCACACAAGTGACCAACCTTTCTCGTGTGCAGAGTGTGGGAAACGTTTCTCTCAGAAAGGAAAACTTCTGTCACACCAGAGAAATCACACAGTTGAACGTTCTGTTTCATGTTCCGAGCGTGGGAAAAGTTTTAATGAGAAGAACATTCTTCCTAGACACATTAGCATTCACACAGTCGAGCTTTTTCCATGTTTTGAGTGTGGGAAAAGTTTCCTTCTAAAAAGCGACCATGTTGACCATCAAAGAAGTCACACGGGTGAGCCTCCATTGTCAAGTTCAGTGTACAGAAAATCTTTTAGTAGGAGAAGCGTAGTTATTAGAGACAAGAGCAGTCACGCTCGCAACGGTCCCTTTTCATGCGCAGAGTGTGGGCTATCCTTTGCTCAAAGAGGACAGCGTCTTGAACACCAGAGAACTCATACTGTGGCTAATCCTTTTTCTTGTTCAAAGTGTGGAAAATGTTTCACTGTGAAAGCAGAACTTCTTAAGCACCAGAGCTATCACAAGGATGAACGTCCTTTTTCATGTTCAGAGTGCGGGAAAAGTTTCACCCGCAGAGTAGGCCTTCAAATGCACCAGAGAACTCACACGGTTAAACGCACTTTTTCATGTTCAGAGTGCGGGAAAATCTTTCCTAAGAAAAGCGCCCTTTTTGGACATCGTAGGGTTCACACCGGCGAGCGCCCCTATTCGTGTTCAGAGTGCGGGAAAAGTTTCACTCAGAAAGGAATCCTTCGGGCACACCAGAGAAGTCACAGCGACGAGCTTCCTTTTTCATGTTCAGAGTGCGGGAAATGTTTTTCTAACAAAAGCGACCTGTTTAGACATCATAGAGTTCACACCGGCGAGCGCCCCTATTCGTGTTCAGAGTGCGCGAAAAGTTTCACTCAGAAAGAAATCCTTCGGGTACACCTGAGAAGTCACACCGGCGAGCTTCCTTTTTCATGTACAGAGTGCGGGAAATGCTTTTCTAAGAAAAGTGCCCTTTTTAGACATCATAGAGTTCACACCGGCGAGCGCCCCTATTCGTGTTCAGAGTGCGGGAAAAGTTTCACTCAGAAAGGAATCCTTCGGGCACACCAGAAAAGTCACACTGGCGAGCTTCCTTTTTCATGTTCAGGCTGCGGGAAACGTTTTGTAGACAAAAGAAACTCAGTAAGACACGAGAGTACACACAGCTGCTGATACTGTTGTACGGTGGCTTCTAAGGTCCATCTACGTCATGAAAATAAGTTTCTTAAAGGGGAACAACCTGGACCAAGTGACATTTAAAGGGCATGTAACCCCCAACAGCGAACTTCTCATTTTTGTTTCTTTTTGATCTGTTAAATGTTTGATTTGAAGTATTTTTGATGTGTCTGTTCAATAAGTTCAAACGATGACCTGTCGATCCTGCCGGAAACCTCATGAGCTGGTGACTTCCTGTGCTGCGCTCTTATCAGTTACATCATTCCCAGCTATCTCTATAGACTACAACCCGCCTCCCCCCATGCTATGACAGAAGTCCCATCCTAGAGTGACGACACTGCTCCCCCGTAGATAGTGTTGCTGGCGGGATCACCAGATGAAAAATGATGCAGATTGGGGGGGGGGGGGGGGGGTCTGT